TCGTTTGGAGTAGGACGACACTCCATACTGAGTACCACTGAAATGAYATTAAATCCATCAGTGTACCCTTATGATTATAGATCCATAGGCAAAAGGGACTCATTTAATAGTCTAATTTTACTTTTCTCATAACATAGACCAAAAGGCCTTTCCAAGCACCAGCTTCAGCACAARAGCAACATCTCTTTAGATATATATTCTGTTTCCATTAATAATTATAATTATCATATAATTTATAAATAATTATAAATTAGAAACCTGGATACACATCATTCTCCATTATAAAAGAAGAGTAAAATTAAATGGCTTGAATTCCATGAGATGGTTTTCAGCAATGGAGGAGCTGCCCCAGATCTCCAAAGGAGACCCGACTGTTAGAGAAAAAAGGYATCTTATACCAAGATGCAACTGTCCAGCTTTTTCTCCAAGACACTGAGTCTTTCTGGATCACTTAATGAAATATAGTTCTGAGATGGGTCGTCATAAGTCTTTTTTTTTTTTTTGGCACATATTTTTTAGAGGTTAAATTAAAACAGTCTTACTAGCTTTGGATTTCAACAGCCAATGGCTTTGGTTTAGTCTTGCTTGATTAGGTTTGGGCTTGGGGATTTTTTTTTGTCTGYTGCTTTCTCAAAAATAAATCAAAAATTAAAGCCTCGCTTCTGGTGAACAGAAGAGCCATGTGCAGACTCCCACCCCTTGGTTGATTTTTGTGTTCTTCCACCTCATATTGCCCCTGTTCTTCTAAAGCTGTAGCTCATACAGCACTGCTCAGACTCCCTGAGAGCCCATTGCTGTTCCTACCTTTGCACTTCTCTTAACCATTGACAAATATTTTTCCACACACTGCCTCAGTTTCCCTACTTTTAGAGGGGGGATGATGATGGACTGACCTCTGTAAGGTGATTTGTAACATCTCTCCTGCTGTTGGCTTCTGGGATATGGAAATCTTCGGCTTCACACTAAAGTCCCTGCAGCTCCACTGCGCTGTGGACCTGACCCGTTCTGCTGAAAGAGCAGCAAAGTGTGAGGAGCTCCTGGTGCTTCCCACCCATTCCTTTTCTGGTCCTGTGTGCAGGGGRCTTTGCAGGGTTCCCTTCACAGAATGCACACCTAAATTAGCATGCAATGGGCCCCTCTTGCTGCTTTCCCCTCTGCTGCCATGGGGCTCCGAGAGCTGCTCTCCAGARCAACTTACTGCAGAGAGAGCCAGCCGGGATGTTGGGCCAGGCAAGACCTCACCCAACGCGACAGCACCCGCCAGCCAGCCCCTTTCAGCAAGGGACCACTGCGATCTCCTACCTCCTGCAAAGCAAGGAGGGAGCGGGGTTTCCTCCAGCTCTTTCTCCTCCTCGCAGGGAAGGCAGCAGGAGCGAGCTGCRGGCTGAGAGCACCCTCCTGTGGAGCTCCGGCTCTGCTGCTTCCTCTTCTCGGCAGGTCTTTTCACTTGTTTCCCAGTTACCTTGGAAGGAGGAAGGAAGTTTTCAGATTCTGGATCTTTCAGTTCCTGGAGACAGAGGCACCTGAACAGGCTCCCCGTGCATCAGACCTACCTGTAACTATTTGCCTTTGGTGCAGACCTGGGAGTTTTGAAAGCCAAAAGGGTAGAGAGGTTCAGAAAATTCACATTCAAATGGGTTTATCAAGAACATGTCATCAGAGATGACCACTTAAAAGCTCCAGGTCCCACAGGTATTATTCAGGTGGATTCCCATCCTATTAAACATAACAGTTTGGAGGGATGTCTTCACATCACTGTGCCATATGAGAACCGTTTCCTATTCCACATGATGCTCCAGGAGGAGTCATTCCCAGAGATGCACCTGTTTCTGGACCATTCTGGGCAACGCTTTTGGACATCCTACCAAGTATATATTTTTATAAGAAAAAGTTTTTTGTTKTTGTTGTTGTGAGGATGGTCAGGCATTGTAATAGGCTGCCAGAGAGGCAGTGGAATTTCCATCTCCAGAGATATTCCAAAACTGGACTGGACACAACCCTGAGCCCGGGGGGGGGAAATGCGCACGGAGGCCCGGGGAGGTTGCAATTAAGACCAGAGTGACCGGGGGGGCAGCTACACACGGAGGCCCGGTGAGGGCGCACGTAAGGCTGCAGGGCCCGGGGGGCCACCTGCACACGGAGGCCCGGGGAGGGCGCACGTAAGGACGGAGGGCCCGGTGGTGGATATGCCCACGGAGGCCCAGGGAGTGCGCACGTAAGGCCGCAGGCCCCAAAGAACCAGCTTCGCACGGAGGCCCGGGGAGGGCGCACGTAAACCCGGAGGGCCCGGGGGACCAGCTGCACATGGAGGCCCGGAGGGCTCGTGGGGCCAGGTGCTCACAGAGGTATAAATACATTAAGGGAGATTGTAGGGAGGAAGGGGACAATCTCTTCTCATTGTTGGCCAGCGATAGGACAAGAGGTAATGGGTGTTAGTTGGAACACAGGCAGTTCCATTTCCAGGTGAGGAGGAACTTCTTTACTGTGAGGGTGACAGAGCCCTGGCACAGGCTGCCCAGGGAGGTTGTGGAGTCTCTTTCTCTGGAGGTCTTCAAAACCTGCCTGGATGCCACCCTGTGCCACATGCTCTGGGAGTACCTGCTTGAGCAGGAAGGTTGGACTAGGTGATCTCTAGAGGTCCCTTCCAACCTTGAATATTCTGTGATTCTGTGATTTATACACATTGCTGAGTTCATTGATTGCTTTTATAGCAACATAGTCAGGTGTTTTATACAGGAAATTGCGCGCTCCAGGAAACAGTAGGATCACGCTCCAGGAAACAGTAGGATCACGCTCCGTTATCACTGCATTTGGAAACTACGCCCAGGGGAAGCCCGTTTGTGTGGGGCAGCTGCTATTGCTGGTTCATGGCACAGGCTGCACTGCACTGGGATTGTGTCTGTCTTACAGGGCTGGTGTGGAAGCGTTCAGGGACAAAACGCAAAGACAACCGCTGTGGACACTCAAGGGGTAAAATCAGCATTAATGTAAATACCATTAGTATTAGAGGCATTCCCTTCCCACGCATGTGACACAGCTGGAAGGTGCTGTGTTGGAGCTCGGCATGTGAAGCCTGGCTAACCTATTCGGATGGACRTCCTTAATGGAAGGAACAGGAAAAATATGCACTAATATGACAAGATTACTTTTTTTTTTAAAGCTTTAAGATTTTTGTTATCTATTTAACTAATTCCTGAAAATACAGATGCACAATTTCTATTTTTAAATGCTGTTTTTAATATAAGCTAGCGTAACAGCCATAGCTCTCTTAACATACTAATTTTGATAAAAATTAGTCACTGTGTTTATTTTTGTTTCAAAACTGACATGGCAGAGGTGAAAAGCTTTCGTACCCTCTTCCTCCTTCCTGCAGCTCTGTCATTTTAAGATAAGCAGGAGCTTAACAGCACCCAGCACTGTGCAGGTTCGCGCACTTCCCTCCCCTTTGAACACAAAGGCAGCACATGTGTTTGTGATGGCACACGGAAGAAGTAAGTATTAAATGTGCCTATAAACAACCTTATTTAACCAGGATCTTCATCATCAAACATGCATTTTACAAAAGTAAGGGTGAAAGAGGAGGAGCTCTTCTGTACCATTTCATATGAAAATAGTAAAATACGAGGGCTTATTTTTACATACACACATCGCAAAGAACTGGTGCTATTCTGAGAAACAGTAATTAGGCCAGGATCTTTCTTACAAAACTTCCCTCTTTCTGTGATCTCACACAAAGTGTGCCATGAAAATCACTCGACATGTGGTCCTGGYAAATGATAAGGGATGTAATGGCTGTTTGTTTCAGTTCCAGCTCTGTGTTTTCAAGGGATGCCTGTGTCGGACAGAACCCAAACAACCTGTTCTGGTCACATTAATGCGGCCGATGCAGCCAAGGGAAACGCGTGTTTGTAGCACAGGACCGCCATCCCGCATGGTTATTTATCCCCACGACTCTAGAGCTCCAAACCGGTGGATCAGTAGGTAGAAATGTCCCCCTGTGTTTAGTGACCTATATCCTTAAGTAGCAGCAGCTGTTTCCGCCCGCCTGCCTAGTCGCGTGTTTAAACACGTGTTTGGTGCCTCTAAGCAGAGCCTCTAAGCGCGGCTCCCGCAGGGCGCTATACACCGCGCTACGCTATACCACACTATACGGTAGTGTACGGAACTATACCACACTATACGGTAGTGTACGGAACTATACCACACTATACGGTAGTACACGGTATTATACCGCAGTATACGGTAGTGTACGGTACTATACTACACTATACGGTACCGCTGGCAGCCGCAGTCCGCCGGCAGCGCCTCCGCCCCGCCCCCCTGCACGTGACCGCGCGGGGCTCGGTCACGTGGCTCGCGTTTAGGCGGGCGCCGCTCGAGTGACACGGCCGGGGCGGGGCGGGGCGGGGCGGGGCGGGGCGGGGCTCCCTCGTCCCGCGGACGCACGCACGCACGCACGCACGCACGCACGCACGCACGGGGTCCGTGCGGGCGCCGGGCGGAGCGGGCGGTTCTCCCCGCTGCTCTTCGGCGCCACGTCCCGCTCCCGCGCGGCGGCCCCGGAGAGGCCCGGCCGCCGTCGGGGCGCGGCGCCCGCCCGCACGTCAGCAGCGTGTTCCGTTCCCGCGCTGCCGCGGAGGGSCCCGCGGTGGCCACGCGGTGCAGCCGGTGTCCCAAGAAGCGTTGGGAGTCCCAGAGGAAAGGAGAGCGTGCAGCGGCGGGGCTGCGGTGTTCCCCACGGGGCAGCTTAGCAGGTTGCTCTGCTGGGATTTTGTTGAGCACATGCTTAGCAGTATTCCAGAACAAAAACAAAGCCCTTTTCCCGGGACAAATCTTTCAGTTGATGATCTGGCTTGCACTGCAGGTGTGGCGGCGATGGCCGTGCAGCCTGTTTGCYCTGGGCCTGGAGATGTGGGAACCGGAGCCGTGAAAGAGGAGAGCGAGATGCCGCAGGACACGTTAGTGGTGCCCGGTTGTTTTTTTTGCATGTTTTGTCTGTGAAAATATTCAGCATTCATTTTATTATCCTTTTTAATTTTGCTTATTAGACACTCATGTCATTCATGCTCTGATTCGTTACTGGAAAACATCTCAGTATATAACAGTTGGTCCAGTGCTTGTGAGACAATATTCCAAGAAATACCTTGGGAAAGTCGGAAGGCTATTAGAGTGCACACAGCAAGCTTGCTTATTCAGTGGCTGCCTTGCTTAGCTGTATGTGAAACTGAATAATGGAGCAAGAAAATAGCAGGGACTTCCCATATATTTTAGCATCCACTTTAGTGAGCGACTGTGCTGTTTCAGTGCAGTGTACAGTATTATCTCCAGGCAAGTGTGGCTGTTGTGCGTGCTGTAACTTCTCTCAAAAGAAAAATGCTTTTACTGCCCGTTTGGGTGATGCTACAAAGCAAGTGACGTGTTAACCTGTCCAAGCTTAGCGCCGCACRCAGTGAGGCATCCGCAGCATCAGTCGCCTGCTGATTCTTTTACTGCAGTGTCATCAGTAGCTGAGGCATTCACAGCTGAGAGCCAAGGAGCCTCCAGGAGGTATGCTTGTTCAGTACTCTGTACTTAGGCTTCAGTTAGCCACAGCAGTGTTACTGCAAAGTTATTACATGGCCCATGCTTTAGGTATATGATCTTTTTAAAAACATGTCTTTTGGTAWGTGCAGGGGGACCCTGAGCACGTAGGACACTGCATTGGCATTGCATGGTGCGTCCCAACCCTTTGCTGATATGGTGAAGGACGTTAACGCGCGTCGCTTGTTTGTCTGAATCTCGTTTGCAGGTGTTTTCTTGCAGCTGTTCTAATTCTGCCCATTTTTGATTTTAGTAGGTGAACATGTTGGAGTTCTGAAAGCAATCCTGTGGCTCGGAAGAACTCTTGGAAGCTGGGTTGTGAGAAAAGAAACAYGGGCTCTCGTGAAGCCGACATATTCAAACACATTCTTCAAAATAACGTTTTGTTTTTTTCTGGCAATATAATTTGAATTTGGAATGCAGCAATAATTAACTTCCTGGGACTAATATGATACAGGTGAGAGAGGTTTGTTTTCAATTAATTGCTTATTTTGACCTTGTGCAATGTGGGAAATACTTCAAAAAGTGTTTAGATATGAGAAAAAAAAAGTCCCTTATTAACCCACAAGGTAAGGTATGCAGCATCGTATGTGTGAAGATGTTAGGTCAGTCTAAATGTGTAAAATGCTGGCCAGTCAGGTTCATTTGTAGTGGTAGTTGTTTAAATCTCCGAAATGGCACCTCTCTAAAAACAAAGAAATTCAAAATTGTGATGACCTTTTATGGAAGGGGTGTTTTGAGAAATTGGAACTCTTTAACAGTGTAAATGCTACCATAATCTCCAAGAGCAAGAGACTTTTTTGTGAAGTTTTGCTTTCCGTTCCTGGGGTGCCGGTGAGGCCGAGTGCTGAGGTTGCTTGGGGATTTTTGTTAGCATTGGGAAAACGATACAGCAGTCAAGCAGTTTGCCTGGTGTCAYGCTGGTGCTTGAAACTGGGTCTCTGAACCGTAACTGACCTTAATTATTGACTCGGTGATCTTAGATGGATGGTCAAGAATCTTAGTTATCTTAGGAAACGCTGAGTTGTCCTCTCTGAGGAACAACAATGGTTTTGTTAAAGGGTAATTTTTTTTCTTCTTGCTGTGAAGGTGTAGGACTCCTCCCTCATGGAAGGGTGYGGATGAGAGCAAGTAGTTTCTGCTTTCCACACGTTTGGCTGTCCTGATTTTCTGTTGTCTTTGGGTTTAGGGTTTGCTTTTTGTTTTGTGCAGAGATGTATCGGGAAAAGAGCTGTCTGGGGTTTGCTAATGCAGCAAATCTTGGTGCAGATGCCTGATTACAATTCTGGGTTCATAGCTGTAAATCGACYGTTATATTAGAGGTTTTTTCTGGTCATTTGGGGCTTCTCAGCTTGTCATTTACTGCTTCAAGGTGGTCTCCAGCTCCAGTGTTTCCTGAGATGGCAGTGGCATTTCCTTTCATAATGACTGTTGTTAGGCGCCTTTTCTGGCTATCACGGGACCTTGCGAGATGGTCTGTGTTGCAGAATTTCTCTTTATGTTAGGCAGTCTGTTATCTGAGAAACTGGATGGTGACTGCTCAGACGAGGTGGTTTAATGTGTAATTCCATAAGTTAGAAACAGAATCCAGTGTCCAGTAGGCTGTWAGCTGAAGAGTTACCGTGGTGCCAACGTGAAGAGCCATGTGAGGGGTAAAATGTGTGGAGCTTCCTAGCGAGCAGGACAGTAAAGCTTAAATGGCATTTATGAGAAAAGGTGGAGAAAAAGAAGAAAAAAAAAGTTTAATGAGGAGAGGTTCACATGCTCTTCTGAAAATTTGATTTTGAGTATCTTATTTTCTAAAACTGTTGAAACTGTATTTAGACCTTTTAAGTGTAGTCAAACTGTTAATAAAACAATTCTTAGTTGAACTACAATTCTGTATTTGTTGTTCTGGTTTTTAGTGTTCATAACTTGCTTTTAAATTAAAAAAAAAAAAACCCACACACACACAAGATGTGATTATTTCAGTAATGTAACTCGAAAATGCGTGAGCATTCTTCCTCACAGAAAAGTGAGTTTGACTGATTGGACCATAACACGTTGCACTACAAATAGTTGAATATGATGCTAAATGTTGTTCTGTATTTTGTTATAGTGAATGATGTATACATCATGAAAACGTACTGTGTTGGCTTGATTGTTTTGCACGGACAAAAGCACAAATTGRCTGGTTATAATTTTTAGTCATTTCAAAACTGGAAAGAAAAATGAAGAGTAAAGTACTTGCCTAGTCATACTTCTTGAAACAATGAGGATGTGTTTGGTATTTAGGTATTTGAATGTCATGTTGTAATTGTTATTGTATTACTTTTCAGGACAACCAGCAAGAAGAAAATCAAGCACTTGCACGTTGGTACTGAGGTGTTTTTTTGGTCCCTTTTGATTTTGCTCTGAGGGTATTGTGAGCTAAAAGGAATCATTGGAAGTTGTAGTATGAAATTCCGTGTTACTTGTTGAACAGCAAATTAAACTTAATTAGCTAAAGCTTTATTGTCTTATGTTAATCTTAATAAAGTGTGTGGAGTGGATTATTTCACTGTGAATGTCTGTATAGTTCTCTCAAATGACAATGAGGAACAGCAATACAAAATGCTAATAGCTGCTTCTCGACATCATTCAGAATTATGTGGTTTTTGTYGTAGTTTGTATGAAACTGTAAAACATTCCTGAGTGTTTTATTCAGAACTGGAAGTGAAGGGTTAAGATAGAAGCAACATTCTAGTAATATTTGCACGTGACATATTTCCTTTGTTAATCTTTCTCTTTGATCTCTCTTTTGGAGCAAATTGAACATACTGTGTATGTTAGAAGGTATTTCTGGAGGTTGCTAGTGCATGTGGTGGATGAAGCCAGTGGATTGTATAGTACACTGTGTAATTTCCTTCTAAAAAATGAGATCTGATACCTTATTTAAATATATTTAATTTTTGAATAACTTGATCCCTTGCTTAGGTTTAGCAAGCTCTGAAAGTTTTCAATGCTGCTTTTTACTTTGTATGCTTCTCTGTTTTATTGTCTTGTCTTACAAAGGTGAAATAAATATGGAGCACTTCTAGTAACTGAAGCTGAAAAGAACAGTAAGTGTCTGCAGTTGTGACCTTGCTTTGTAGTTACTAGGTATGAATAATATTGAAAAGTTTTTACGTGATACATTGTGAAATATCAATGATTGTGTTCAGCGTGTGTCGAAAAGTCAGAAACTGTCTTCTGATATATATGTGTGTGTATATATATTTTCATAAGTGTTTAGGTCTTGATTTTACATTGCTCAAGTCACTTGGGTTTTCCTCCTGACTCAGATCAAAAGAGACTCTCTGCATAGTAATTCCCCAAAATGTATTGCTACACTTTTTTTAAACAAATTACTTCAACTAATATAACAAGTCTGTGCTCTTAAAATCTTTTTGTTACACTTGAAGTATTAAAAAATAGATTTTACCTTATTAACTACATATTGAACTTAAGTTATTGTACAGCTTTTTTTTGATACAGCAGAGGATCATCTATTGAAACTTTGTTGAAAAGAAATATTACTTCCTCCCTGCACTTGCTTTGTAGCTTTCACATTTTTCCTTGACAACGAAGCAGTTATTTGACTAAGTGACTCAGTTTGGCTCACTGAAAGCAGCATGACTAGATATCAGTTCTCAGGGATGTGATTAATTTTATTTGTCAGATTTTGTATTATCAAATGTCATCAGAGCAAAAAGGGCAGAGGTTCAGCCATCACTATACTCAGTTATGTTTTCCTCCAAAGTTTACAAGATCAGCAGAAGAACATATAAGTGCAATGGAGAAAGGGCAATTATRGTATTCAGTACAGTGTATCAGTTGCTCTTTTTCCTCTGGTGCATTTGAGCACCATCTTGTCAGCCTGCTCTGTTCCGTTCTCTTGCCTTTATAAATGCACAATCAAAGTAATTATTGTTTAACCACTTAATCTTATGGAAGCAGGTTAATATTTCAAAGGTGGGATATTTTCAAGTGCAATCACTAGTTGAAGTTACTGGTAGAAAGATTATTCTAATGGRTAGTACTTGAATATAGTATGATTCCTATAATGTGTTTTCCCTCAAATTTTATCTAAATATATAATTTGGCTTGAAGAAAAGTTTAGAGAAAAGTCCACTTTTAACGTTCCTTTTCTAGTTTTGTAATATAAGTGGATGATTTATTTGCTTTAATATATCATCATATGCTTCTGAATATCTGACTTTTATAGAGCAGGATATTCGCATTAGTATTTCCCAGTATATTTGTGGGAGAATGAAGGATGGGATGGTGATGATCCTGAATCTTGCTTCTGACAAGACTGTCAATGGCTATGGTCTYGTCAAAGATAAATAGCATAATGTGCTGCAGCTGTGGGTCTGTGGAAGTTGCTGAATGGGAACAYGTTTGAATGGAGGACTTAAATCTAGAAAGATTGTTTACACTCATTCCAATGTTATATTGAGAATATATACATACATGAATTGCTGTAAGCAAAATAGTTGGGTTCTTAGTAAGATTTCTTGTGTGAGTGTTGTGAAAATGAGGAAATTTGTTTTGGCTTTATGGTCCCAATTGGTTTCCTTTGGTTTGTGCATCTTTTAGAAAATGGTTAAAATGTTTTTTAGTTGTCTTTAAGCTCAGGAAAGTTGGGGAACTTGCATCGAAGTMAGAACAGATCTTGTTTTGGAAACTGCTACCTTCAGAATGTAACTTGCATCCCCCCAGTTTTCATAATTACTAAGCAAGAAAGTGCGCTTCCTTTCTCTTACTTGGCCTTGCCAAGTTTCTAAACACATCAGTGATGTTAGTATTCCTCCAGCAGAATAACTAACAGTATTACCAGTTGTTATCAACTGGTAGTATTACTTATTTTCTTACCATGTAGAATGGCTATTTGCAGTTGTTCAGTTCTTTTTATACTAAGTGCCCKTTTATACGGCGTGATCGTTCAGCCCAGTGTCCGGGAGGAAGCAGAGCCCTGCACCTAGACACAGGCTTTGGGTCTGTAATGGAAAWGCAGGAATGTAGTTTTATTCTGAGTTGTTCAGGCTGATGTTTCTGTGCAAGTTGCTTCTCTCCCTCCAGACCTCTAACATCCGTAGTAAAACTGTAATAAATTGCATGTGCAGTTTTTATAAGGCACAATCACGTGTCTAAAAAAATTTGGTAATACTCTCAATTTTGATGATATTTGTCGTTACTTTTCAAGACATTTCCAAGTCTGTGCTGTTAATGGCGTGTCACTGGGGTTTCTAAATTGGGACAGCCCAAGAGTTTCAGCAGTGCGGGAGGAGTCGCTGCTGAAGGTCCTGGTCGGAGGATGGCGGAAGGGAAGAGGCGTCAAAGGAGGGTTTGCAGAGTGGAAGCGGAGGAGCTTCAGGCTGCGGAGAGGAAATGAAAAATGTGGTTAAGAGAGGAATGGGGACCCAGAACTTTTTTTTTTTTTTTTTTTGGGGTGTGGTTTGAGTGGTTACCTGTGTCGGGACAAGCTTTTGCTTCCTCTCTTTTCTGATGCCTCAGTAGAGGCAGTTACTGTTTGAGCCTTACAGCTCCGTAGAGATTCCTCACTGCTGCAGGACTTAAAATAGGGAAATTGAGGGTGATGTTGTAATGAGAAGAGATGAATTGAACACCTCTAAGATCGGATATAATGGATAAGCCTGTGAAGCCTTACCTGTCCGCCACCTCCTTAACGTCACTTCATTCTTCATTCCTCTCAGAATGAGCCCTGCTTCATTCAGTGGCTCTTTTGTGTATGGTTCTAGTGTGGTTCTAGCCTGCTAGACACTGGCTAGGTGTCTAGGAAGAAAGAAGACAAGTGTGAGTGAATGTGAGTGTACAAAAACACTCCARTGCTCCAGTTGATTTTGTCAAATCTTAGGCTAACTTGGGTTRGAAGGGTCCTCTGGAGATGATCTCATCCAACCTCCAGCTCAAAGCAGGGCTGAATCCAGGTGGAATGGGGTTATTCAGGGTCTTGTCTATTTATGGCACTTTAATTTGCTGAACAGAACATAAGGTCCAAAGTGTAAGATTCATTTGGCATTACTACATGCTTTTTTTCTATGCGTTTTTCACCAATTGATTGCAGTAGTCGAAAGCCCTGATTCATATTAAGCCATGTAACGTGGCAGTGTGGAAATACTTTTAACGTTAAATGCATATATTTGGACACCTGAATTGTCCAAGTGCTGCTGGTTGCTGCTTTTAATACCTCTTGCTCATGCCAGACATAGTCTATGTGCACACAGAGAATGTTTAAGATATACTCGACAGACCTTATTTTCTCCAGCTTTAAGAAGATATACTGTGAACTGGGATCATCATAAATACTCTACTAGCTTTTCATTCTTATATTACAACTGTTATTTTTGTTTAAAATTAGCTCGTATTTTTTTAGTAGTAAGAAAGCTTGGGTGAACGTTCTCCGAGCATGCATTAGAAGCCCTGGTATTTCAGTGTTTGTGCCTAGCATGGTGATACAATGGTACTTTTTTAAGCTTGATTTTTCTACGTTAAGTGCATTTTAACCACGTTAGGTGAAAAACTGCATATACATATCTTGTCCCCTTCCCCCCACCAAAACCAAAAAAAAGTGCTTTTTGGATATTTTGAGATTTTGCTGTTTTCAACATAGCTAAAGGCATCATTGTTTTTCCCTAGAAAGGATATGGGGCATTTATTTAGGATTTTTTTTTTAACTGTTCTTTCTCTCCATCYGCGGTAGTAAAAAGGCATTACAATATCTCCGAAGTTTTCAAATGGGAGGAATTTTGCTAGCTTAAGTGGCTGGCTAAGTTTAGCATCTGGAACTAATCCAGAGTGGAAAACCTTTTGTGTAATAAGAGATTGGTGTGTTTTCCTTAAAATGCCTTTGGCTTGTGAGCTTAACACGTGCATCAGCTTACCTTTTCTGTGCTAAGTTAACATTTATGCCTGCTTTCCTCTTGTAGCCCTTGTGAAATGGAATAACAGGCAGTAGGTCTTTCTCTTGTGTCGTGTATCCAACTAATCCACGTGTGTTCGAGCAGGCAGGATCACTCCTGAGTCRCTTGGGTCGTTCCAATGGAAACAACCTGTACTTTTTTGCTGTGCTTTCAAATCTGTTTTTCTTCATGGTTCTTTTTGCAAATTTATTCACTATCATACACAGTACTGCTTGGATGCTTGAACGTGCTGCATGTATTGGAGGACATTCTGACAAATCAACTTCATCTGTGTAAGCTTTATTTATAGAACCATTTCAAAGTAGTTTTTGAAATGACCTATTTTTCAAAATAAATTTAAGTTTTAGCGAAGACTTTGTAACACAAAAATAGGTGGTATCTTCAGTAGCAAAAAAAAAAAATCTATAAACAGTGTTGTAGTTTTTAAAAACTCCATCATAAAATAAACTCAAGCTGTCTTTGAGTATAGTACAGTTATGTTTATCCTGTGCTTCTGCCGTCAAACTTGGATGACTTCAGCTGATTCTTGACAGAGCAGCTCATGTCTCCTGGCTGTGTTTTAATCCCTAATTAGATGGAACTACTTGGGATCATTGCGATTGCGCCATATTTAGGATATCCCAACGATTGCCTTGCATTTTCTTGTCCAGAAGGCAGCTGAAAGTACAGGTTGCAGGAGGTGGCTGTCACAGAGGAAAAGGCTTCTTGTCTTTAACATCCTGCAACTCAGGATTCGATATGTTAGTGTTGTCTGGCAACTGTGAGCGTGGACAAATGTAGATGCAAACACAGCTCAATAGATTTCCCATTGGCTGTGAGCTATGCAATATGTTAAGGAGATTGCAAGCATCATGTGTGTTTCCATGTATATGCAGAAAACAACACTGTGCCTGCAGTTCATGGACTTGGTGTCTTGTTCTATCTAAGAGTCCTAAAAAGCCATGTATGGTCTTTAAGTCTGACCCTGAGACAGAAATAATTACACAGCATTTCAAGAGTGATGAGTTGGGYGCAAACACGTGCATAGGAACACGGTGCCTGTGTTGAGCTGGTGCTTGGTG